CTTCTCTTCTCTTCTCTTCTCTTCTCTTCTCTTCTCTTCTCTTCTCTCTCTTCTCTTCTCTTCTTTCTCCTTTTAAGGGAAATTAAAATTCTAGGTAAACTAGAATTCTTCCAACATCAGCCATATACAGATTTTTGTGATGCAGCCCCTCAAATACCAGTGGCACCATTTATTTCCCAAGATGACAGGGTCTAGTCAGGTTTCAGGGTACATAGGTAACTTCCAGTAGGTGTTTAGAATTAAACCAAAGTATCTCTTTATTAAAACACATTCAAGTAAAACCAAGTAAAACAGATATTTCTCCCCGTTTTTCTATGTTAAACCCAGTTTAAGAATGTCAAAGCAAATGCCTATTTAAACATAATCTCCAAGGCTTTAGAACTTCTAGCTTACCTTAAAATTTAGAGAGCTCTCTTTTAAAGTGTTCCATTCCCACCAGAGTATAACTGACAAATACTAACAAGCTCACCTATAAAGCATCTTATGAATGCAGTTTCATTAGTGTGAGATTAAAAAAGGACAGTGATAACTAATGTTTTAGGGTTTGTTTTGTTTTGTTTTGTTTTCCCAGCAGAACACTGCTTTGTAACGTACCTATAGTTTAGAAAAGAAAGCCTTATTTATTTAAAACTTGAGAATTTAAAAATGCAGGGAAATTCAAAGTACATTGCCACATTTTTTAGCATTTCCATTGTATTGTCCTTAGAGTCTGCTTGCTGAAACCAAAGAGAACTTTCATACCAGCATTAAATTTGCACCCAATATGCAATTTCAGGATCTCTGATACACACCCACACGAGCCCCTGAGTAGATCTATGTGTTCATATATGCACGCACATGCCCTGTATATGTGTGTATACATGCACACGTATCCACACACCAAAACTGATGCACAAGTTATAGATTTTAAGTGTTGGTTTTTTTGTTTTTTTACATGCCTGTTGAGGTATCTGTAAACCTTTTCATTTTTTTATAAGCCATGGAGAACAAAACCACCCTTGCCACAAGCAATACGCGCTTCGTACTCAGAATAGACCAAGAACCCACTTTTCTTTAATTGCGTTCAGCCCGTGCAGTGGATCCCTACGGGACTGCGCCCCTGTGCCCAGGCACGGCACAGCCCCATCCCATCGCTGCTGCTCGTCGGCTGCCGTCCCTTCCCTGTGCCGTGCCGAGTGTCACACCCGTCCTGTTCCCGTTACGTTAGTGTCCGTCTGTCCACCTGGATGAGATCGGGGCTTCACGCCCAACAAACTGGAAATTAGTTTCAGATTCCATTCCCAAAGGACCTGAAAGTCTGCCAGGAATATTTAGGAGAGGAGCGGAACCCAGTCTGCCATGGCTCCACGGGGCTTCGTGGCACGAGGGCGTCAGGGGCGTGCGTTTGGCCCATGGGGGCTGCCAAAACCGTGCCGACCCCAGGCAGTGTGGTTCAGAGGCGAAGCACCCGTCCCACCCTAAGGGCGCTGTTGGCTCTCTGGGGAGCAGGCACAGCCCCGGATGGCAGCGCTGCTCGGCTCGGCCCCAGGAGGCTTCCCAGGGCCTTGTCCTCCTCTCCTCACTCAGGTAAAGCCAAGCGAACCGGCGGGGCCGTGCCGCTGCTCCTGCAGGCGGTGCCGACAGCTGCCTTGGGTGCGGGGCTGGCAGTGGGCACAGCCCTGGGTGCTGCTGGAGGGCACTGCCCAAAGGAGCCCCAGGGCCTTTCTCCCTGCTGTGAGCCGCCTTCTTGCCCCTTCCTTCCACCACTCTTCCTCCTCTCCTCCTTTGTACATAAGAATGAAAACTATGCATTTAGCAAACAAAGAGAAAGCACTTACCCTTTTCTATCCAGCTGCGTTTGGGTGCATTCAAAGGTCCAGAGGCTAATTTTGGGACTTGGCTTAGCCTTCTGGTTTATTATTGTGGTGTGGTTAGCTTTACAATACATTTGGTAACTATTTGCTAAAGACAAAGAAGCAAAAGGTAAGGAATAGCTACTTCCACGTGTTAAAAAAAAAAGAAAAAAAATGAAAAAAAAAGAAAAAAAAAGAAAAAAAAAAAGAAAAAAAAGAAAAAAAAAAGAAAAAAAAGTGTGTAAAGATCTACTATTTATAGTGTGAACCAAAGACGCTACCTCACTCGATTTCCATTGGTGATTTTAATCACATTGATGATACCAAAGAATACCAAAGATTTTTCATGCACGGCCTCGGTCTGTGAAGGGAACTCCTCCCCCCCCCTCCTCGCCTCTCCCAGTGCGTAGATGCGTCTGCTCCTTGTAGCGATGACGGTAACCTGATGAATGCTTCTCTTACTACAACTCTACTGCTGACGATGATAAGGATAATAATAATAAAGCTCTAGGCAAACATGTTGCAAACTTTGTAAACTCCTAGGACGAGTGCCTTGCTTGAACCAAAGTGTTAAACCGCTGTTGACCTCTTTATCTCTCACCTTATACTCTTTGAATACCTCAGCCTGTTAGAAAGGCCACTAATGAAAAAAGGAATAATTCTTCACCGTGGTGCTTTTTGCCGTGCAACCATGCAATGAAACTTTCTTTGATACCAAAGGAAAACGTTTTTTTCCACTTTCTTGCTGACAAACCAAAGGTTCCTTCCTCCTTCCCCCGCAAGCAGCGTGAGTCCCTCAGCCCAGACAGGCCGTGCATTGCTTTTACCAATTCCTCCAAATACCTCATAGTAATAAATCGTTAGGGTTACGTTGTATAGAGAGTCTATGTGATAAGGCAGAACTTACTAGTTTGATAATTGTTAAGGTTACTTAAAAGAAGCTTTATAATTCTTATTTATTTTGTAGGGGTTGTTTTGTTTGTACATTCCTTTTTTATTGCTATGGTCGGGTTTGGGTTTCTTCTAATTCTCTTTTGGCAGAACTTCTCTGTTATACTCAAGGAAGATCCTATTCCTGGAAACGCTTCTAAGTGGGTAAAGATCGCTGGTTGCAATGAACGCGAGAAGGGGAAAAGCGGCTTTGATTTCTTTTGTTTGGGTTGGGATGCTTTGTGTTTGCTAGTCGACGTTCTTTTCACAGGGTAAAAAAAATATTATCTGCTGTGATAAATGGTTCCTATTTTTTCTCTATAATGTGCTGTGATTTTTAATTTAATTACATTTTGTATACACTTATTTAATCACTGCTTTAATTTATGACTATGTAGTTTAAAAAGAAATTGTATATAGTAGATTCAAAAATGGCCAAAGCTTTATGTTACAATCTTTTCATTCTCGATGCCGAGATAAACTGAAGGAGAGTGCTTCTCTTGACTGCAGGGTGTGTCTTCAGGCTTGTCTTGGCGTGCACTTCCACGCGTGTCCCAAACACTGCCAGGTTATCCCCCAGCCTCCCTCCCCTCGCCCCTGTTCATGCCAAAATGAGTGTTCCAAGGTAGTGCTTTTGTCACATAGAGAGCAGAAAGGCATTATTTAGCACGTTCTCCTTTAATTTATTTGTCTTTTTTTTTTTTTTTTTCTAGAAAGGTTCCTTAGGGGGTCAGACCCGCGCGTCCAAAGCATTTTGGTTGGTTAATGCTTCGAGGCACTGGCGTTTGTGAGACCCGGGGCACCCGTGGGGTGGGTGGCTGCTGCCAGCTCCGTGTGTGCCCACGGGCTGCACTCCTGGGGGGGGCAGATGGGGGCAGATGGGGGTGGCAGGGATGGCAGGGATGGCTGCACCCAGCTGGCAGCGCTCAGGCCCTGGCCGCCGCCGGGCCACCTCAGTGCCACCCATGGTTGTAGGCTCCTGGAGGGGGCAGCTCGGGGCCGCAGCAGCACCGCAGGGCCCCATGTTGGCCGATGGGCAGAGGTGCCACCATCCCGCTGGGGGACCGCGTGCCACCCTGCTCAGCTCCAGAGGGGAACAGCAGTTTTGAGTTGAGGAGAGTAATGACAATGATAATTCTGCAAAGCTGACGGTGGCATCACGGCACAGAAAATAGGATGCCGCTCACTTGTATTTTATTTTGCGTAAAATAATAGGTTCTGTTTCAACTAAATGTTGTGTATGACATGATTTGTGACGGATGTAAATATTTCTTTCCATGCACAGTAGGTGAGCTCCAGGTGTACGTTGTTTTTGTTCAGGGGATGTCGGAGGGGTTGAGGGAGGGAAGGACGAGGGCAGGGTTTGAGCTTTTGGTCAGAAGTTACACTTTCTAGATACATTTTTATACTTCAAGTATTGAAATGGGGCAATAAAGATGCTCTGAAATGCAGGATCATTAAATGGTCTGTTGGTAAGCATTGGCTAAATGTCTGCTTTTAATACATAAACCGATGCCGTGCAATGACTTAAGTGTCACGTGGAGGGAGGAGACAAAGTATTAGTCTGCGAATCCAGCATTAGCTATTGAACACTGGACAGAAGTATACTTAGGAAAAAAAAAGAAAGTTTCCTTTTTCTGTTTTAGTCGTTTGATTTCTCATGGTATGTTCTGCATTTATTGCATAATCGTTGTGGAATCATTTTAGTTTCGCAGTACGAACCGAACAGCAGTATTAAACGACAATAAACTGACGGCGTTGTCTCTCACTCGCTTTGCTACTTGTCTTCATCCCGTGCCCGCTGCCCAGTCCGGCCCTGGGTCAGCCCGGCCCCGCCCCTCCTAGCCCCGCCCCCCGCCCCCTTAGCCCCGCCCTCAAATTGAGCCCCGCCCCTTCGGGCCCCGCCCCCTTCCCGCGTGGCCCCGCCCCGCCGCCAGCCCGCCCGCGCCGCGCAGGGGGCGCCCGAGACAATCAGCGGCTGCGGCAGCGGCGGGGCAGCGCCCACCGTGCGGGCGGGGCGGGTGGGAGCGGGCGGCCGCGGCGCCCTGCTCGGTTCGCCCATTAGGAAGCAGTCGTAGTTTATGCGTCGCATCTGCATTTCAGACCGATTATTGTACCTGATGACGGTTGGTTGCTAATATTTCCTCAATCTCTCTCTTAGTCAAGCGCTTCTTCTGTATTTTCGTGTGTAGAGACGTGTAATGCGCTAGGCATTATCGGCTTTGTTTCAGAGTATCTCCTGTACTGCGTTAAATTTCCTTACGTTCCTTTTTTTAAGCTTTGCTACTGTTCTCACTTTATGCCGTGCAATATCATCTGCTGTGTTTGCTAAGCAAAAAAAAAAAAAAAAAAAAAAAAAAAAAGGAAAAAAAGAAAAAAAAAAAAAAAGGAAAAAAGAGCAAGTGATGATGTCATCATGCTTTTCAGTGTTAAAATGTTTCAGCGTTTATGTAGTCACAAAAATGTAGTAAATAAAAGGTTGGATTTTCCAGCACTTTACATTTAGCCATCTCTTGCCTCCTTTGTGTGTGCGGGTATGGATGTCACCACGGTAATCGGCGGGACGGAGTCCACCTTGGGCAGGCAGGATGAATGGTTCATTGCAGGAAGGGATATCGTGTTCCTCCCCTGTCGCTGCTGTACTGCCCCATGGCCCCACAGGGCCCATCACACACCCCATCACAGGGCACCATGCTGGGACAGCCCCACACCACCCAGCCAGCCCCTAATGAGGGATCAGCGCCTGCCACAGAGGTAACGGCCTTATGGGCAGTGAGCTGTGCTGCCGAGACGAGGATTGGCCCTTCATCGTACTCCCCTAAATCACAGCATCAGCTGCCTTTATCCCAGTGCACGGCCTGGGTGCCGCTGGCACGGTTTTCTCTTGGGGCTCTGCAGGTTGGGCCTACTGTAAGGTTTCTTGGTGCTGCGGAGTGGAGGAGGTGTGGGGCTCCTGTCAGGGCTCCCCTGAGGCTGCTATCGTGAGGCTGTGCTGGGAACCAGAGCAGTGCCCATCCAGGGCAGGCACAGTGGAGAGGGAGGACCCCATTCCCAAATCTGCCCCTCATCACCAGAGGCGATGCCGTAGGACCTGCCCTCATAGCATTGCCTGGGCCAAGCGATGTCCCCAACGGTTCCTTGCTGCTGGGGACACTTGGGGGCCTGCACAGCTTTTTGCATGTCTCAAGGCAAAGTGACTCCAACACACGCATCCCCTGTGTGAGTGTGCTCAGGAAGTGCATGTGGAAAATGCAGAAGCCTGAGTGTCACAGGCTTTGTCTGCTGAGCAGGGCCACACAGCAAGGAGCAGAGGCAGCGAGAAGGAAGGAGCAAAGCACGTATGTGCTGGGCTGAGCAGCATGGTGGTGGCAGCTCAGGTGCCCCTGATGCTCTGCTGTTGGTGCTGGTAGTTAACCAGCAGGGCTGATGTTGCTCAGAGGAACAGAGCTGAGATGCTATAGGAGTGACTGTGCTCGGCACAGACACCCTGGTGACGTGGGGACGAGGACAACAAATCTCCCCAGGGACTGGAACCTCCCCAGCGATGCACAGAGATCCGATCTTGGTGCAGCATTCAATCAAGTCGGTGACACGGATCAAAGGATACTGCCTTAATCGCCCGGCTAGGCCGCAGACATCGTTAGTTACTCATTATGATGTGTTGATGCTGGCGCGCTCGCTGCCGGTTGTGTACGCTCACTATCAGACATTTTTCTCATCAAATGGGATGTCAATAGCTTAACATCTTAATGAGTTACAGTCAATACCCATTGCAATAAGGCTGGTCTGTTCTCATGATTCTATCTGCCCTCAGGGTTTTCATTACAATGACTGCTTTTTCCAGGTAACTGATAGAGGAGCTATGGAAATTCCATGTAGGAAGGAGCATTTGCGATGCTTCTCACAGCGACAGGCCCAGGGCTGGAGTTTGGCATGCAAAAGCCACATCCAAATTGTCTTTTATTTTAAAAACCTCTGTTACTTAGGAGAGGACAGTAGAAGCTTCCCAGCTCCAAGTTAAATCCTGGAATAGGCTTTTTTTTTTTTTTTTTTTGCTGTTTATGGCAGTGAAGACCTGTGTGGCTGCTGGATCTACAGGAAACAGAAAACTTGTCGTATTTTTAGAATAGCAAAGAGCTGCTGTGATTCACACAGGAAAATGCCGTGTCCTAATGCCCTTCATGCTGGAGGTGTACAGGTGAGAACTGTGACCCCCAGCCCAGCAGTGAGCTGCCAGCCAGGCTCCACCCACAGCAGCAGCAATGGGTGAGTGTTCCCTGTTATCCCCATTATTAGGGTATGGGTAGCATTAAAGATAATGCACTCTGTGTTAATTTAAAAGGGTTGTTTCAATCTCAGTCTTGCTGAGTGGGGAGTCATCAGTGTGAGGATACACATTAAAAACAAATCCTAAGTCACTGAAGAATTGTACAGCCCTGCTTTTTCAGAGCATTTGACCTTCGTAGTGCTTTAGCTTGCTCCTTCCTTATATCCCGTGTAGATTTTTACATTACACCTCACTTGGCAAACACGAATTGCAGGAAGTCAGGAATTGCTGGGAACAGGAGCACTGTGTTCGGGTGTCGGAGCTGCGCCCCATGCCTCAGGGAAGAGAACAGCAGTGCTTGAAGGGCTGGAGGGACCCAGAGCCTCAGCTCTCCTTCTCCAGCACAGGGGAAGAAGTGTTTCCCTCCCCCCCGAGTGCTGACACGTTTAGTCCAATCTGACTTGCGAAGAGCGTTGTGGGCCTTATGGAAAAGGTGCTACAGAAATCACAGAATATTTTCCTGCTCTCCTTGGCAGGGCAGCACTAGTGTCATGGATGGTCCTGCTGCCATGCATCTCCCTCTGGCTGACAGTGGGAGCAATTCATGTATATAAAGCTAAGGGGACCATTTAGAAGGCTCTTGCTCTAAATAATCTGCTAACACTTGTGATGTATTGAAAGCTGAAAAGCTGAGAAGTTGCTGTTTTCAGGGGATTTTACAGCAGAAATGTGCACACGTGCGGCTTGGGAGCTGCACAGGAAAAGAGCTGGCTCTCAAGCAGTGTATTTTCTTTACTCCTCCTTCTATTTCACAGCCCCCATTATTCATTTTTCAGTTTTACTGGTAGTTTATAAGTTAACCAGCTGTTCTTTAACACTGTTCTCTTATTTCAGGTTTTCTTGATTGGATCGGAAAGAATGCAGACCCAGCCTGGGGCAGAGGGAGCGGGGTGGCCAGAGCCGATGACACAGCCTGCACACAGTAGGGTTAGCAGGCGCCTGTTTTGGGGAAACCCAGCTTATAATTTAGAACAAGCCTCTAATTCTGATTCGGCATTTATATTTGTGGGAAATGCTCCCCAGGAGAGCATCCAGTGCAGCACAGCCACTGGCAGCCCAGCAGCCAACACTGATGCTCCAAATCTTTTTTGTGTGTTTAGAAGTGTATTCCTGCCTACTCAGCCAAAATGAGGGAGTTGCTTCAGTCTCACCAGACTGGAAATCATACAGGCACATCATATGGAAAACAAACGATTATAAATGTGCAGCCCTTCACCGGCAGTTACAGCTCGTCCTTCCTCCCTGCCTGGATTTCTGTATTCTGCCTTAACTCAATGGTTTCCCTTATGTTTGTTTGTTTGTTTTCTTTCAATGGCAAATGATGCTTAAAATACCACAGTCAGAACTGCTCCTCTGGCATTGTTAGTGCTTGCTGTGTTCTTCATCTACAGTTTCTGAGGATGAAAATGAGTCTTAAACATCTCAAATAGCTGACAAGGTAATACTAGCAAATCACGAATGAGTGATTGATTTATGAATTTGTGTAAGTATGGCCACTGGACACCTCCCTGTCTGTGTACGTGTGTGCCCTGCCTTGCCAGGTACAACCTCACTCATGGAATAATATTTTTTCTATGCCTGCTGCAAGCGCCACACAGAGGAGCCTCATTGCTCTGCAGAGACTGTGCCATGAAAAACAAACACTGACACCCAAACTCTTCCAGCAGGTAAACACGGCCTAAAACACTGCATAAAGCAGCTGGTGTGCTGTGGGGAAGGGAAGGGAAGGGAAGGGAAGGGAAGGGAAGGGAAGGGAAGGAGTCCTCACTGCAGCCTGTACCATCCCTCTGGCACTTCTGTTATACAGCTTCTATGTATGCTAGGTGGGCATTCGTGTTTTGCTCCTACATGTTTTCCTCTAGTTAAACCAAGCGTGAGTTTATGGTAACTGAGCTTCCAGGGGCAGCAAGCACCATGGCCCAAACAGGAAATTTGAAGTCTAATTTTGCTAGGCAATGTGTGAGTACAGAACTGATTGACACCTGGGTGCCTCTGCTCTCTGAGTAATGATTCCAAAAGGCCAGTGCTTACATTCAGACATAATTTCTATACCGTGCCTTTGACAGGCAGATGAAGGCAGGTGTGACCATGAGACCGGCTGGCTTCCATTTGCACTACCAGCTGCTGCCATACCAGTGCAGTGGAGCCACATTGAACTGGTGCTTGGAGCTGTGGCCAGGTAAGGCTTTCAGCATCGGCTGTGCAAGGGGAGGCTGCTACCAGTCTGGGAGGTGCTGCATGCAAACAGGTACTCTGAGGGGAATGCACTGCTGGCGTGTGGGCACACATAGGAGGTGTGTGAGGCTGGGGTGGTGCATGCACTGCTGGAGTGAGTCCTCACTGCAGCAAGGCTGTGCTGGGACACCAGGGAGGCATCACCATGAGTTAGAGTGGTCCCAAGAATGCTGTCACTTGCAAGCTTTGGATGTGTCCTCTCCCATCTTTGCCCTCAGTCCCCTTCACAAGTGATATGCCTATTAATTTAAAAGGAAAGAAAAAAGATTGCAAGTCCTGATATGATGTTTTTCTTTACCAAGTGAAATGCTGAAAGCATTAAATGTGTAAAGTGAGGGATGTTGTGAAACGGTTGAGGAATGGCTTTACGTGCAGCACGTATTTGTTGTATTTGTTGTCAGCAGTAGCCACACTGCTGACAGCTGATGATGGTTTGCCATTGGCTCTGGATGTGGAAAAGTGGTCTCAATGACAGCAAACAAATAGATTCCTTACAATCAGATCAAGGCCACGGACTCTTAGCATGATTGCTGTGACAAGGCCCTGTTTTTTGCAACATGATCCATGTATACAAATCCCACATGGAGCAGAAGACAAGACAGTATTTATTTGACATTTCAGTTGAGAAGGAGAATAAGCGTGTTCTGTACTCATCTTTTTTTTTCAGCAAAAACAATTAACTTTGGAACAAGGGCTTTGATCGCTATCTCTGACATCACCTTTACACTGATGTGATCCTATAGGCTGCCGTGGGGTCATTGCTGATTCACACTGGTGTGAGCAGGGAACAAACAGGCTCTGTGCTTATGGGGCAGTGAAGGTGTTTATGTTCTGTGAAAAGAAAGAAAATCGGTTACACATCTTAAGGGGTAAATAAGTTAACCAAGAAATTCAGATGGAGCCAAAAGCATTATAAGCAAGGATACTGCAAGAATGTTCTAACTGTACTGCTAGTTTAAAAATATACATAGCCTAATTAAGTAAAGATTGACTTAGCTATAAATATGTACGGTGATCTTTTTCGTTTTCAAGCTCTAATTGACATCCAAAGGTGAGCAGTGGAATATCTCACTGGAACTTTCAGGGTTTCAGTGTGCCGTATCTTACCGCCTTTGTTGAGATCCTTGCATGAACGTCAATTTCCTTTCCGTTTCAAACAATGTTATGCAGCATGAGAATAAATGAACTCTAAGGACTACAATTACAGGCTAACTGGTGTGAAAGCAGCAGTGAATGCTCACCCGAATATAGCCACAGTGAAATCCTAGCTCTGTCTGTGTGAAGGGGAGCTGACCTTTGTACGTGGGCCAAGGATTTCACCATTCATGACATTTACCAGGCACAGATGTATTTTTTTACATGTCAAGGTAGAATCAAGTCTTTCAATGTCCTTCTCTTTGTGCTCGTTTTATGCTACTGATGCTATTATACCCTCAGTTTCCAGAGGATGTCAGACTCCCAGGAAGGTAACTTGTTTTGATTGGCGGTAAAGTTTACCAACATTACACTTGAGATGGTGTGGGCCTAATCATATCACAGGAGCTCTGGTGTACTCAGCACACAGCTGGGAACGGGCCCAGGCAGCCCTACCAGCCAGCAAGGTGAGCCACTGCATCATCCCCGCCAGCAGTACGGCCACAGGTGGCATTTTAGGGAGTGCTTTTCATCCAAAAAGGAAAGAAATGGGGAACCAGTGAAACCTAAATCTGGGTAACTGTCATATGTCCGTACTGGAAAATTAATTCTGATGACTCCATGTACAACTCTTTCTGTTCAGTGCCATTTCTATTTGGTCTTTACTAATAACATGTGGTGTGTCTTACCGAGTGGCCAGGCATATATCAGAAAGGCTCTGTGTAATAACTAGGCAACAAAAACTTTTAGAACCAGGCCAGTTTTGCAATAGCTGCGGCATTTCCCTAATAAACCCCAACTCACTGCCTACTTTATTAAATGACAAGCTTCTCCTGTAAGCCACGCGTGTGGTTATGTTAAATATTGCCCTGCATTTAACAGTGTGCTACTTTCCTGTCCTACTCTCCCAAGCATAATAGGAGCTGCGGCATTCATTTAACCTGGGTGGAACTGACGGCTGCACTTGTTGTTCCAGAAGGTAATCGCTGTGCTACGTAAAGGATTTATCCTTTTCATTTGCAGTGCTCACAGTAGACTGCCTGTAATTTGAATACAGTCAGTGGGGTGGCTGTAGTAATATTCTTCATGTTGTGGCTGTGCTCACTGCTGGTGTTCTCCCAGCTGTATTTGCGTGGTGAGATGTACAACACAATGATATTTTGCAGAGTGCTGGTCCTGCTTCACCTGTGCCTGCGGGGCTTCCCCATGAGCAGCCAGCACTGGTGGGGCATGCAAATGTGGAGGACATGAGATGGGAGCTGCACAGATGGGAGGAGGTGGCCAGAAGGTACCAACCCTTCTGGCAGGGTGGGAAGCCGTGAGCTGGGAGCGGTGCTGCCTGCTGCTGCAAATGGGCAGGAGAACAAAAAGGGCTGAGGAGGCATCAGAGGGTGAACCCAATGAACTACCAGATGGAGTTACACCAGTGATTAATTTTGTGCAATTACTTGTGCAGAGCTGCACTGGAAATTATTGCAAGATGGATCAAAGCATTAGCAATAGAAAAACAGCATTGCAAAAGTCCAAACTCCTCCTTCCAGTGTTACTCACTTACTTTCCTCTGAAATTATACAAATAGGTGCTTGGATTCCTGCCAGCTCACTGAAGTGGGTAACCAAGGAGTAGCCTGTAGATATACGTGCTCAAAAGTAAACTGCACTGAGTGGTCTGAGATGACCCAGAATGGAAACAGTCCTTGTGCCTCTCCTTTCCGCAGAACTTCTGCTGCTGACAACATCTTGCCATTGCTCTTGGCGAGCAAATGTCTCTAGCTTCTGCTCAGGGAATGTTGGGGCTTGCTGCTGCTACACAAACTCTGGTTTTCCTATGGAAATGCATACATCTTCTGATTAATGTTTCCGTCGAGTTTAGTCCTGGATAAACACGGGGTAATGTCAGAATTCATCAGCAAACTTGCACAATCCCCTTGAAAAAATATTGAAGAAAAATTGTTCCCAGCCTAGAATGAACATTGCAGCCAAAAAAAAAAAAAAAAAAAAAAAAAAAGATATTCTATATAAAAAGTAATTTCTCTCTCTTTCAGAAATTAACGATCTATTCACAGACCTACAGTTTACTTTTCAGTGTCTTATGGCATGATTTGTCAAGTGCTGATTGAATGAAGCCAGCTGCTGCAGTCTTACCAACTGAAGGAATCTGCTGCATGCGAACAAGGAGTAGCAGCAAAGTGTTGAGTCCGGGAAATGATTTCTGGCAAAGACTATAAGCTTTCTTTTTGAGAGGGGTGCAGTTATCACCCTGTTGTTCCCACAGTTCCCTCCTAACTTAGCTTTGGCTGCATCTCCAGAAGGACAGCACTGCTTGGGAAATAAAGGCATTTGAGAGCATGTGCGAGAGAAAAGTAATCAGATGCCATTTTAATAATTTCAATAAGTGCATCTAAGAGATCAGAACATGGTAACAGCTGTATGATTTTTACTTTAAAATGGCTGAACAGAAGGGAAATTAAGCAGTGGGGTTGTTGGTATGAGCCATATGAAAAGATAAGTCCCTGCAAGGTGGCAAACCCGTGTCTAACAGCAGAGTGCCTACTGATTTGCTCTTGTGTTTGTTTACTTCTCTTCGTAATATTTAACACCAGCCCAGCGATTTGTATTTCTAGAAAAGACAACAACAAAAATTCCTGTTCCTACTCTGCCATAGATCCCCGTTTCCCAGATCTGGGGCAGGTTTCCTGTGGAAATAAATCCATTTACTCATCCAAAGCATTTATACCAGGGAGAGCTGATGTAACAAGCAATGAAGCAAGGCCACTGGTCAACATTTTCAAAAAGTTCCTAAAATTAGGTACCTAATTCTATAGTTGGGAACCCAAACACAGGTAGGCAGATTTTCAAAAATGCAACAGATGCTGCCAAAGTCAGCAGGAGCTGGAGATTATTTTTTCTTTGAAAATCAGGCATTTATTTAAATGCCAAAAAATAATTACAGGCTGATGTTGGACATCATGGGCTGAAGGGTTTCGCTCCCTATGCCTGTGTGTAACATAACACTGTATCAGCACTGAGTGCACAGGGCTCTCATGGGGGCGTACTCTGTGCCACATGGCTATAACCCATCTTGCCTGCCTTAGGTACAACAGCCTATTTGGGAATTCAAAACAAGTTTGTTTTCCTCACTGGTCTTGAGACAGGCCCCAAATGTACCCAGCAGAGGCCCAGGGGCTGCTCAGACTTATGCTCAGAAGTACTGGAGGCTGAAGCCAATGGCTGCAAGACAAAGGAAGGCAGACATAGGAAGGACAGCTTTCTCAAGCTATCCTTGTTATTATGGTTATAAATATCTCCAGAAAGAATTATGAGAAAGTCTGTTCTTCCATTCAGCTACACTTACTTATGTGTATACATTGAAACCAACCCCAAGCTGATTATAACCCCTAAAACAAAACATTTGGAACATAAGGCATTTTAATTATATGAGTTCATAATTCTCTCAGTAACAGTTGGCTCTTCTGTTCCTACAGATTAATAAATCCCTGTAAGCACATAACTCATTTCTATTTTAATGCTCTCTCCAATGCAGTTACAACCTGTGACAAATTACAGTTGATTCTTCACAGTTTGGTTGTTTGGCATTTTTTAGCACCTCTCAAGTTTATTGCACTGCAGAATGTATCTTCAGATACTATTCGGATTTTCTAACTTCATCTTTTGGCTGCAATTTTCTCCCAAGCATGGTGGTTTTTTACCACAGAGGCAACCATGTCAGAAGCAGTTGTGCTGCATCACTTAACAGGCAGTAATTACCTGCAGGAATTGCAGGAATCTCGATCTGCTGCATCAGACGTCACTTCTGTGACGATTAATGCTGAAAGGTCTCTTGGAGGTGTCACTAAAAATACACTTTGCTCCAGGCTGCAGCGACAGCACCAAAAGCATAAAGCGCAAAGCGCTGAAGCTCTGAAAGAAAGTGCAGCTAAACGTTTGTCTTGAAGAACCTTTTTTGGAAAACTTTCTGTAGAAAACAAGGCTTGTTCCTATTGCTCTGGGAACAAGGCTTATGTGACAGCACTGTGTCACGCTGCCCCAGGTAAGGATTTTTAAAATCCTGAGCTCTTGTAAGTGTTCCCACTGAGAATGAGGCTGCGATGGAAACTTGCAGTTTTAAGCACCAGAGACTGAGTGAGAGCCTCCGTGACTGCACAGACACTGCAGCCTGCACTCTCACCTGTGCAGACACCGAAGATAATCAGATGTGAGATACAACCTGATAAGAAACCAAGTTTTGCTTGTGCTTGTGCTCCCAGAGGCAAGTGTTGTTTGGGGCTTGGCAGTTAAAGATCTCTTAGTGTTTCTAAGATAATCCTGCTTTTGTGTGATGTGTAACAGCCATACAGTTTTTTAGATGCTTTATGTTTGGTTTCTCAGGTCAGAAGCACATTTATGGTTCTGTCATTGTTCTCAAAGAATTTTCAGGTATGCATAAGCAAATTCTCATGGCTGAACCCCCTAGTGCCATATTTTCTGTGTGTGCTCACATAGTGTACATCATTTGCTTGCTGACTGAGAGGAAAAGTATGAGTCCAAGCCATTTTTAGCCATGGTAGCCAAACGCAGTCCACATCTTTCTTTGAGCTGATCATCCTCATTTTGTTTTTAGTATTATTCATGAACTATTGTATAATTAGATTCTTCCTGTCAGTCTCATTTTTCTGTCTGTGGTGTCTTTGGTTGTTTGCCTGTTTGTTTTAGTTCTGTTAAATGTCTGTGTGGTCAAAAGGGAAAGAGTCTTTCTGTCTTTCTTTGTCTGGACCCAAAGCATGAATCTCAAACATTTCCCTTCCTCAGTGGGTCCAAAAATTATCTGAGTCAACAGGAGAAGCTGACCCTAAAATCTCCTACACAGGCACGTACATTAGGAGCATCATATCACAGCTGCCCTGCTCTCGTCATATCCCTCAGGATTATCCAATTCTCCTTGTGATAAGAGGTTTTCAGGCTGGCACCTACATTTCCAATTGGCCTGAATGCCAAAGAAACAGGAAACTGTATTTGGCCCATTAATTAAGAAAACACAGTAGGAAAAGTACTTGGTGGAAGTGCTTTCCGAGAAGCTGGGCCTGTTTGTGTCCAATGATTTGTTTAAAAAAAAAAAAAGAGAGAGCCAAAGAGAGATTAAGACTTCAAAATGATTAAAAATTAAAACCTATGTGACGCATAACAGCGTAAGGGCTATAGTTGTATTTAAACAGTAGGAAGATTGATTTGATTTTGATTGCAAAGCCAGTATTAGAACAAGCTACAAACTACGTTGCAGTTTTTACAGCAACAATGAGTGGCTGAAGGATGTGATCTTTCTTTCAGATGGCAGTCACCAGTGGGAGGATCTGAAGGTGGCTGAATCATGCCCCAGGTAGTCATGCTAAAATTCTCACATGGGTTTGTTCACTCTACTTGTTGCTCAGTCAAATTCCTCCTTTTCTAATTCTGGATTGCCACATTTGCAATTATGCTGCATCCGGGGAGAGCTCCTGGTCTGCAATAGCCAAGCAGGCCTGCAGCAAAGACACAGGGCAGCAGTGACACAGGCAGCAGTGACACAGGGCAGCAGTGACACAGGGACCGTCGCAAGTCACTCGTGGAGCTCGCGCTGCTCTGCGTCTGTCAGGCTGTGACTGGAAGGACAGGTGTTTGCAGGGCAGATTATCCGCCCCGTATAGTGATGCCCATCTGATAAATGAGAGAGGGAAACAGGCGCAGTTTACACAGACCAAATCGTGTAGAATTGAGTCGTTCTGTGTTTTGTACTTTTAGTAATGACGCTGCTCGATCATCTCTACAAGAAGGAGCGGTTATGCTGCTCCTCGGTGCCTCCGTCCGCAGAGGTCCTGGCACAGCTGGAGAACGGCCTTCAGAGCCGTCGGTGCCGGCACGGACGGGCCGCCCCGGGCCCGACAGAGGAGTGCCTGGCTCCCGGCAGCCCGAGCCGGCGCCTCGTTGCCACGGCAACCGGGCCGCTCGGCGGGCGGAAGTGGGCGCAGCCTATTGGTCAGCACGGGGCACGTGATGCGTGCGGCGGGGCCCGACCGGGCCTGGGCGGGATGAGGGCGGTGTGGGGTGGGCAGGGGTTCGCCGCGCGGCCGCCGCGCCGCCTCTGCCCACGGCAGGGCGAGGCGATCCTCCCCGCCGTGCCGGGCGGGCTGTGATGTTTGCGCCCCGCGGGGCAGGGGGAGGGCAGCGCCCGGCGGGGCGGAGGAGGAGGAGGAGAAGGAGAAGAAGGAGGAGGGCAGGCAGAGGCGGGGCGGGGGCCGCGGCCATGGGGCTCGGCCCGCGGGCGGCGGCGGCGGGGCCGGGCGTGGGGGGAGCGCGCAGCCTTCCGCCGCCGTTCGCTCGCTGACGGTCCGGGGGCGGCCGGATCCGCGAGGCGGCGGTGCCCGGCTCTGCGCCGTGACTCAGAGCGCTCGGCCGGCGGGAAGCGGCTGCGTTTGCGGGCTCCCTCCCGGCGGTTATAAATAGCTCGCCCGGCGCCGTGTCACGGGAGGACACCCGGCGGGAGGCGGGCCCGGCTCGGATCGGCGCGGCGAGCTCCGGGCCAGGCTGCCGGCGGGGCCCCACGCAGCCTCGGTGCGCCCGGACCGCCCGGACCGCCCGCCGCTTCGGCACGGAGCGGTGCTCCGCGGCTCTCTTGTCAAGGAACGTCACCGACGTGCGGGTTCGTCTCGGAGCTCTGAGGAAGCGGGGAAAATGAAGCCGGAACGAGGTAAACGATTTGTCGTGATGAAACGCTGTGTGTTTGTCTGTGGAAATAGCGGCGGCTCGCCGCTTTGTTTCGGTGTTGCCTCTCGGCGTCCTCGTCTCCCCCCGCCCCGCTCGGGGGACGGGAGGCAGCCCAGCCCTCCGTTCGGCTCCGCCGGGCCTGGGCTGAGGGGCTGCCTGGCCGGCCGTGCCCTGAGGAGGGGCAGCGGA